TGACAACAGGGCGACTTTAACAAATGAGACCTTATTGCAAAGTGTTCCCAGTAATTCTTTGAGTAAGTTGAGTTTGATTAAATGATGATAACCTCAGATGTTTTACGTTTCCCATCAGGTTATTGAAAAGGATCTGGCCGAATACCTGTAGCCATCTGGATCAAACCCGATCTCCGTCCTGTGTGTGTGTGTGTGTGGCACTCGTCTCCGCTCTGGTCTCGACTGGACGTTAGCAGGGTGAAGCCCAGATCTGTGACGGCCGTTCCTTAAGCCTGTGTTCAGGAGGGGACGGCCTGATGTCCTCCGGCGTGCAAATCCACTGGGATCGACCCGATGATGTCCAGACGCGCTCCAGAGACGAGATCAATGCTGGAAATCTAACGCATGCTCCTAAAGAACGTTTCTATGATATTAAACAGTAGCGTCACAACGTCCTCTCTGGCCAGTTATTTCACACAGCATGTGTTTACTAGACCGAGTGTTTATTTAGAGAGTTATCACACACTCTCAGAAGAAAAGGTACAAAAGCTGTCACTGGGGCGGTACATTTTTTGTTCCTTTTAGGTACTAATATGTATATTTTATACTTTAGACGGTGTTGTGTTAGCGGCCCCTAAGTTAATAACTAATGATCTTTACAACGGAAGTGAATCAATCAAAACTAACTTTAGCTGGACAATAACTTTATTCTAGAGCTGCTGTAAAGCCCAAACAATCTCTGTGACTTTAATTTCCTGTTATCACTGTAAAGCTGCTTTGAAACGATCTATATTGTTAAAAGCTCTATATAAATGAAGATGACTTGACTTTAGGTACTAATAGGTACGTTTAAGGTTTCAATATGCACTCTTTAGGTACAAAAGTGTACCTTTTGAAAAGGAACCGCCCCAGTGACCGCTTTTGTACCTTTTTTTTTTTCTTTTCTTTTTTTCAGAGTGTATGCAGATTAAAATGTATCATATATATATATATATATATATGTGTATGCGCTGTTGGTCTGATGAAGTGGTCAAAGCTCTGGGGTCTCATTTATAAAACTGTGTCGGATCCGCACTTAAAAAGTGTATTTGCGCCCGAAAGCCAAATATGCTCTATACGCCAAAAATAATCAGACTTATTAAACGGTGCGTACGCCAGAACCTGCGCAACACTCCCGTTATAAATCCCAGTCAGCGGAAGATTGTGCGTCTCCTCCCCGAAATAACCATATATGAGCTTACAACGCCTCGTTTTACTGTGCATATCCTCATCTGCATATCATTATCTGCATATGCATATTCATCCACGTGATGCCATGTTTAACGGTACAAGACATTAGGAAAAGATGAGATCACACGGATGTGCGTCACATTACATTGCTAAAAATCATTTAGTAGCCGATCCTTGCCTTGTTTTTGAAAAAATATATATATATATATATATATTGCATGGCTTAGAGTTTGCGTACAGGTGCGCAAACATTCATGTCAAGTTTGTTTTTATAAATTATCTTAATGAGCTTGTGTATGCCTCTCCCAGGCAGTAGCGGTTTTAGGCACGGGCGAACCGGGCGGTCGCCCAGGGCGGCATTTTTTCATGTAACATGGGGGGCGGCACGAGCAGTTAAAAAAAATCCTCTGCGCCGCGAAGGTTTTCTATTTTCTATCATTTCAATTCAATTATTGGCAATGGCGCCCCTGCTTGCTGAGAAGGTGCCGTGCACAGAAGCGATGTCAAGGGGGTCTCCAGATTGGAGGAGCTCACCAAGGGGCCGTTCACATATCGCGTCTTTTGCGCGCTCGAGGTCGTTATTTAAGCCTTGTTTATACTCGACGCGTCCGCACGAGCGCGAGTCGCCGCTGACTGCGCGCGCACCTCTCCAAACGGACGAGGCGTTTATACTTGACGCGCTCGCCGTTGTGCTATTCTGTGAAACGACAGGGGGCGACTCCGAGTATTTCTCCTCTAAAACACCAGGAATCAGCAGTGAAGAAGTAGTTTGCCGTTTATTAGTAGTTTATTAATTGCTGATTCATATAAAAAGAGTAATAAATGCAGTAGGTTTATTGTACTTTCACTGCATGTAAACTAGTTAAACAACTGAAGCCTTATTGAAGAGTGTTTAAACCTTAATTTCATCAGCAGGGCTTACTTCTGCTATTGTAGGCTTATTTTGTAAATATAAGCAGTTTAGACAAGTGCAAACTGGGTGCTTAATGCAAATGTGTTCCTATTCACAAAATGAGAGGCTTTTATGGTCGCCCATCAATACAAATGTCTCTGTGTATAGAAGGATCATAAACATGCTGGTACAGATGTACCAGTTCGGCCAGATTCGGCTCGAAGTCGTTCATCTTCGGATGCGGCGCCGCGCGCGATGTTACAAAAAGTGCCGTGCACACCGCCAGGCGAAATGGGGTCTTGCGCACCCAACGCGCACGACCGCCCACACCGCAATGACGTCATTTTTGCCTCGCGGACCTTCGCGCTCTTGCGGACGCGTCGAGTATAAACAAGGCGCACGGGAAGCGCGCTCATAATTGAAGCTACGCGCTCATTTTTTCCAGGAGCAGCGAGATGAACATTTTTATTAATCTTTTCAGAATGGGGGTGCACCCAAACACGTGGGTTTTTTTCTCTTCTCCGTAAATAAATCTTTAAGCAGAGCTACAGCAAGCGTTTTTCTGTGGTGGAAATCCATTAGCTACTAAAACTTCTTTGTCGTTGTGGAGAGCGCAGTGCATGGTTGTATAGCAACGACAGCCATGGGAAAATCGGACCGAATTTTACTATTAATAATAAAAAATAAGCTACTGTGCATTATAAATGTCAGGAATTTATCTTTATTGACCCATTCTTTTTATAAAGATGATTTAAAGGCTGAAATATGTGAGGTTTATCTTTTTATAAAATCTATTTCTGTCAAAAGTTTATTTGAACGTGTACATGTTATTAGATAACATAAAACACACTCCTTTATAATTTGGCCATCATCTTTAATGTTATTAACTTGGTGAATAGATTTCATTGTATTAGGCCTACTTTTTGAACAAGATTCTGTGTTTAACCGTGATCATTTTGGTCACTATATTCATTAAATGAAAATAATTTTCATAATGATCAACTAAAATCAACTATAATTATGTGTTTTTACAGTAGCCTATAATATGCAAAGTACAATTTTCTATTAAAAAATAATCTCTGATTCTGTCCTTTTCTCTGACATTTAAGGCCTAAGCTATTTTAGGTCTAGAACAGTTTGGATAGTTGTTAATATTAGAGTTATTAGAAATTATTTAAGAGATAAGTAATGTGTTACTAGTATCTCTCGGCCACTTTCACTTTTAAAAACTCTATTTCGTGACAAAGTATAGTTTAACAAGTCATAACTAAAAGTGTGCCATGCATAGAATTCGAGGCAGTAACCAATGAGCTAATGGTTCCTCCCTGAAAGTTAGATTAATATAGCAAAATAACTGGATTTTCTTACTGTTTTTTTTTTTTTTTTTAAATGAACGGTATGTGATTTTATTGTTGTTGTTTTTTTTCTTTGGGGGGGGGGGGGGGGCGCTCGAAGGGGGTCTCGCCCAGGGTGTAATTCAATGTAGAACCGCCACTGCTCCCAGGGCCGGTGTTGTGCGACGCAACCGTTATAAATGAGGCCTCGGAGCTGGGAACCAGTATTTTTCTGTTTTTTGGGGTTTTTTTTTTGTTATTCCCATGAGTTAAATTCTGAATTCGGAAATATGTGCAGGATTTCTATTGGAACGCTTGAGAATCTGTCCAATAAGAATCGTGTTGGATTGCCTGGATGCCTGCTTATTTTTTTATTCTTAGGGATATTATGTAATCTTCATCTGAAATCTGATTGTATTGTCTTGGAATAGTGGCACAGTTTAATGAATGCACTATTTAAAAAGTCTAATAGAAGTTGCAATAGGATTCCTGCGCTGATTCCTGTAAGGAAGACTCGGTTGCTTCAGGACAGTGTCTGATATTAGCCTTCTTTTATTAGGGTCAATATTTTCACATGTTTTATCTTAATGAGAGTATTTTGTCCTCAGACCAAGTAAAAGCACAGGGGTCCATCTAGGTCACTTGTTTCAATTAAACCCCAAATGCCAAACACCTGACAAGTCAGACTGAGATTTTATTAATATTTCATTCATTTAACACCACATTATCATGTTCATGGGTCTCTAATGTTGGTCAGTAGTCAAGATGACTTGCAGGTAAACTATTAAAATACAGTGTCCTGACAGTCATCTGAAATAAACATCTGGACCAGCGGGTAAGAAGTGTCCTGAACTGGTGTTGTTCTTCAGGTGTACTGCAGTTCCAGTGTTATGCAGTAGATGGCGCTGGTCACTCTCTAATCTTTTTTAGTCATCAGGTTTTTCTCTATTTTGAATTCCAAAGTAGAACATTTTATGTTTATGCCATATAATGGTTTAATGTTTATTCAAATCCATCCATGCCTGACGTCTTTTTGAAAGACTTTTATTTATTTATTTGTATTGCAAGAAAAGAAATGGCACTGCACTGAATACATTAACATAAAAGGAAATTGGAGGAAAAAAAATAGAAAATTAAAAAAGCGATACTAGGAAAACTTTGTTGTTGTTGTTTTTTGATACAATTAAACGATAGAAAAACAAATAGTATTAACATGTAAAACAAGAACAGCCGCCAGAGGAGAGAAGAAAATGACAAAACTTGCAATAATAATACAAGAAACAATAAGAATAAGCAAATAAATAAAGGAAATATTAGCACGTTAGGACAAAAAAATGCGACTAAATTTAAAGGGTGATTTTAAAGCGAGCACAACAAGACAATGTTTCCCTTGCTTTGGCCTTCTCTTAAGCAGAAAGCGTTTTAAGGTATTGGTGAAATTCGTTGAGAAAAACTAATATGAATAATGGCTTATGATTAGAAAATGTACATGTATGAATATGAAATTTTGCTCGATACTATGTGAATTGGGAAAACGTCGCAGAGCTGCCGCCGGGCCCGGTGACGTCACCGCGGGCGCTCGAGCGCATCGGACTCTCACGAGCGCGCGCGCGTTGCGGTGCGGCAGCTGCCAGGAGCGCGCGCAGACTCGCGGACGCAGATCATGTTTTATTATCTTCTTCTTCGTCTGATTGTTGTAATCACCGTGTGACCGGGATCTGATGGAGGGACTGGGAGCCGCGGCCGGGGGCTGTTCCGCGGGGCCGGAGGACACGGACTCGGTGCTCGGCGCGGGATCCGGGATTGATGCTGCAGATCTCGGTATGCGCAGGATCTTTTACATTCATGCTTGCATTTCACTAAAGGCTCGCGTTAATGCGTGGAAGCTGCGCTACCATAAAATGTAAATTATTACATGGGCTTATATGAAGTCATTTTGGAAGTGGCTGACTATACCATATGAATAATATGATAATCGAACAGTGCCATGGTGTTTTCATTTGATACAATCACTGAACTATTGTAGTACCTTAATTTTAAATGCCATATTGGTTAGATTATTAATTTTCTGTTTATTTTCATATAAATTGTACTGCTGTAATAATATACCAAATAGGCTACATGGTTTATGAATATGACAATATCGGTACACTGCTGTAATAATATACCAAATAACACATGGTTTGGTTTATGAATATGAATATCAGTACCCTATATATTAAAAATACCACAATGTTCTTTACGATCTTTGAAGTAGGCCTACCTTATAAAGTACATGAATATCAGAATCAAAATGAGATTTATTGCCAAATATATTTACACACACAGGGAATTTGTCATTGTGAAGTTTATAGTAAATAGAGAAAATAAAATAGAATTCTATTTTAAAAATGTGTGTAAATAGAATAGAAAATAGAATAAAATAACATAAAAAAATTTAAATAGAATATATGTATATATATATATATTAAAATGAAAATAAATAAATATAATTTTTATATATATATATATATATCAATTATATTTATTTATTTTCATTTTAATATATATATATATATATATTTAAAAAGAAATAGAATTTGTATATATCTATATACAGTGTATATATAAATTCTATTTAAAAAAATTCCATTATATATATATATTAGAAATTTAAAAAAAAAAAAGAAGAAATTCTGGATGCACTTGGTCAAAAACCAAAAATAAATAATAAATTAATGACCAATTCATATTTTAAACTTATTTAATAATCAACACTCAAATAGCTAAAACCGACTTGTACAAACATTTAATGTCAGTTTATGACAGATTTATTTAAACATGCATTAAATAATAAAGACATCATCACTAACATGTTGAATAAAAAATATAATGAATATGTAATACAGTGCATATCTTTGATCAAAATGCTCTTCTCTAGAGTTATGTTTTTCATCTAAATAAGTTAATAAGGACATTGAATAGAGTTAAATGTAACGTTAAGTGACAGTGTTTCGCCGGCAAGCGCTTTCATTGACGTCTTTCCCCGGAGAGATTGTTTAATATATGACAAGAAGCTCAATGTTGTTTGTATTGATGCGTTCGGATGCAGTGTTTGTTTATCTGCAGGGAACGTGTGTGTGTGTGTGTGTGTGTGTGTGTGTGTTTGTCCTTCAAATGAAAACACAAAGTCAATCTGAATAATAATTGCCAGAGAGTTTCCTCCGTCCCAGCATGCCTTGTGTTGACAGCTGTTGAGAACACACCGCGGACAGGGTGCCTCCTTCAGGTCCTGTACTCCTGATTTCAGGCTGTTAATCCTGTTTTTAGCCACGCTTTTCCACACTCAGCATTCCTGTCCATCCCTGTGTGTCCGATCATCACATCCGCTTCCCTTTAAACTGCTGGGGTAGTGTTCATTATTACTGTAGAGTTGACCCGACGCTCAAATAGAGTTCCATAATGAGACTTCAGTTATGTTTCTTCTATTCATCATCTACTTACTGTTGTTTTGTTTATCATTGTCCATTGCCTTTATTGTTGCTGGTTCATTGTAAAGCGTCCTTGAGCCCTGGAAAGGCGCTATATAAATAAAACGTATTATTATTATTATTAATAAACTCCATTGGAGAAGGAAAAGTGAAATGAATATGGAGAGTAAACTCAGATCATTCAGCTGAGAAATATTAAGCTCATGTTGAGACTTTATTGCAGACTCTTTTGGCAAATCTGAGATTTCTTCTGAACACATCTGAGAAAATTATCCAAAAAAATTATCAAAATTATCAAAAAAAGTGCTGGGCAATGATTAATCGCGTCCAAAATAAAAGTTTGTGTTTACATAATATATGTGTGTGTACTATACATATGCATATATATATTTAAGAAATATTTGCATTATACATAATTTATATTATATATAAATATAAATATTTTATATATAAATAAATAAAAAATCTTCAACATATACATGCATAAGTGTGTATTTATATATACAAAATAATTATACACAGTACACACACATATATTATGTAAACACAAACTTTTATTTTGGATGGATTAATCGAGATTACTCATTGCCCAGCACTAAATAAAAATAAAAATAAAGTAATTTGTGATTGTTTTTTCTTTCCTATGACTCGAAAGATACTGTATCTCAATATAAACTCGAACATTTCTCATCAGATTTTTAATCAGAACCAAATGATCTGGGCTTTAGGGGAAACTTCCTGACTTAAATGAAACACAACATACAAACTCCTGATGCAACATCTAAAATGATGGTAATCAAAACTCAATAGAAGACACATGTAAGATAACTGGGATTTTTATTTCAAATGAGAAACATCTGAGAAGTAGGAGACTTTAGCAATAGTTTCCATTTGCTCTCCATTTAACCCTCATGTGGTGTTCAAAACCCTATAACACCTGTGGTCTTCCCGGGTCAAAATGACCGGCCTATAAAAAATTGCTTATAAATCACTCATTATACGATATTTTCACCCAATCTTGGATTCAATCTTTTTGTCAACTGGTTCTCTTTCAATTAGGACTGGTTTTGTATTTAATTTTCAAATGGTTTAATTGTAGGAGTCATTTATCCGAGCTTATGCACTTTAGTTTTTGAGTGAAAAAAGCATTATTTTGACCCGGGAAGACCATTTTTTTACTCAAAAAGTGAGATGCCTACTCTTAGATAAATGAAGCCCACAATTAATCAGATGCAAATGAAAATACAAAACCAGTCCTAATTGAAAGAGAACAAGTTGACAAAAAGATTGAATCCAAGATTTGGTGAAAATATGGTATAATGAGTGATTTATAAGCTATTTTTTATAGGCCGGTCATTTTGACCCGGAAAGACCATAGGTGTAACAAAGTAACAAACCCCCCCTAAAAAAAGTACGAAATTTTTCAAAAAAAACATTTGAGAAGTAGTTATACCCTTTGGGAACAAAGTCACTAAGTTTCAGTCCAATGCGATAACATTAGCTAGTATTTTTGGGAAAAAGAAAATCTTCTCCGGGTCAAAATGACCCGAAGACCACATGAGGGTTAATCTCATCGCTCTTAAAGGGACGGTACCCCCAAAAATGACAATTCTGTCCTGATTTACTCACACCAAGTTGTTCTTTTATTTACGACTCACTTCCCCATTGACTTCCACTGTAAATATACTATGGAAGTCAATGGGGTCCAACAGCTGTTCACTTACTGACATTCTTCAAAATATCATCTTTTGTGTTCAACAGAAGAGAGAATCTCATACAGGATTAAATGATGACAGAATTTTCATTTTTGGGTGAACCGGCCCTTTAAGAAGAACTGAGCTATTTCCATTTTCAGTGTTTCCACCATGATCAGTGTTTGTTTACAGTAAAGAGAGATGAAATATGTGATCTGAAGCGTCACGCTCGCGGCGGCCGCTGCTCTGTTGCATGTCTTCACGTGTTGTGTGTGTGTGTGTGTGTGTGTGTGTGTGTGTGTGTGTGTGTGTGTGTGTGTGTGTGTGTGTGTGTGTAACTGCAAGGTTTGTGAATCGCACGTGTTAAATCTGCTCTCAGATCAGTCCAGCTTATCTTGAGGAATAAATCCAGTCGGATTTGAACAAATAAATGCAGCATTGAAGCATATCAGGGAATCACAGGAAGGAAACCGGCGTTTTCAGATGCATTATGGGAGGATAGATGCATTATGGGAGGACGGACATCAAACATGTTATTCTCCTGTTCTTATAGTTTCCTGGTGAGATGTTGCACTGGATGTTGTCAGTCGTATTGTAGATTAGTAGCTTTACTGGTGAACCAAATTGAACAAAAGTTGAAAGTCTTACAATATGAAAGTTTATTAAAATGTCCCAAGCATTTTTGAACATTGCAATGAACTACATTTTCTTGTTCTTATGTAAGTTAATGTTAAATTATTTGTTAATTACCACTATTATCAAATAGACTCGTATCCCTCTGGTGTTGTTTGGACATTTTTGACCAAAAAGGTTTACTTTTTTTTTTTTTTTACTTCATTAGAATGATACGAAACTTGGTAAAGGTTTTGACACTTGCTATGTGTGAACACAAACATGATTCAAAAAGGTTAAATGGTCATGAGAAAAATAGTCACACTTGTATTGTGTTCGCGGTCTGAGCGCATTGGAAATGAATGCGAGAGGAATTTCCTCTAGTGGAAGCGTTTGGTACTGCAGCCAAACAAAATATTACTGAAAACTCGTTTTTTGAGCAATTTGGATTTCGATTTATTGCTTTGATTTTTTTTATTTTTTTTTTTTTTTAGTAAAATGTGTTTTGGAAAATACATACTGTATTTCATATAAAAATTTGGAATTTTTCATAACAATTAATGTAAAATTATATATCTTTTTTAAAGTTACTTTTTTTTCACTTCAGCAATAATCTGCCAAGTTTCGTCTTTAAAAAAGAGAACAAACTTCATTCTGTGCTCCAAAGCATTCAAGATTTACCACACTGAAAGATGGAAATTCTATATCCTCAAAAAGTTAAAATAATATATAAATATAATTTAGTTCCTTAAAATCCCCTAAAATACTAAATATGAAATTAAAACATTCTCAAACTAAAATATAGTACATTCATTTCATTGAAATTCTGTCATTTTACCACAGTACCACACTCTAAAAACTGCCGGGTTGTTTCAACCCAATTTGGGGTCAAATATGGAGAAACCCAAACTTTGGATTAGAAATGCAATTTAAAAAATCAACCCGATGGCTGGGTTTGTCCATATTTGACCCAAAATTGGGTTAAAGCAACCCAGCATTTTTGGGGTTCAAAATAAAGGCTCTTTATTGGCATCTTTGGTTCCAT